TTTGGTTTGCATTTTTAATACTGGCAAAATTTACCACTGTTGATTAAAACCTTGTTGTATATGTAACAACATCTTTTGCCCTCTATCCCTTCCTACCCTTTGTTCTCTGTTTCTCCCTATCAGTGCCAACTTCATACATTTTGTAGCATGGCAATAAAATATAACTTTTACACTGAGGCCAAGTGTGGCTTTTTGGAGGACGTGGAGCCGGGAGGATTGCCCTCTAGTCATTCTTTGCATATGACTTTTTGCCATATAAACCGTATCTCCAGGCATGAGAAGTTTTCTCATATATGATGTAAACATGCTTTTAAGGACAAGTGTGAATGTGCTTTTAAGCTTAATTTTTGTCATAACAAATAAGAATTAATTTTTTATATTTGGAAAAGTCAGAGTTCTTGAAGTACAATCAAACCTTTATTAACTGGAGTACTTAAAGAATAAGCTAATAATTGAATTTAGTTCAACAAGGGCTAAGCAACACATTTTTAAAATCCTTATTTATTGTAGAGTATTAGTATACTGTCCTAAAGATTATATGTAAAATATGGTTTAATCTTAGATGATTTAGGATCTTGCAATGCCTTACTGTTGTCATTCTGGCATAAATTTTCATAATGAGGTACTCAAGTTGATACTGGAAGCTGAGCTGACTATACACTGACCTTAAGCATTCATGAAAAACTGCTTTGTTGAATAAAATCTGATCGGAGTTCTTATGGTTACTTTCCCCTTATTGCCAAAAGTAGATTGCAATAAAACCCCAATAAAAGTTTGGTTGGATACCTATTTAAAGTTTTCCTGTATTTCTATGTCATACATTTCTTAAGACTTTACGGTAAGAGGTTTTGTTTCTTAGTCCCATACCAGTGCCTCCATTTTCAAGTGATCAAAGTGAAAGGAAACTATAAGTAGTTGACAGACTCTTCGCAGCTTCATCTATGCAGTCATCCTAGCAGTTCTCAGATTTGGGACTCCAGACCTGTTTTTAAGTCACAGTGTGACAGTACAAAGCCTATTTAGTAGGTACAGCTCAAGATGGAGATCACTTAGACAACGAAGGGGTAGACAAATCCACCTGTACCTGGCTGCTTTACTATATACCAGACAACCATGGACCCATAAATCGGTTAAGATGTGGCAGGGACGTCGTCACCTTGGGAAATTTGAGCATTTGGTTTCAGAAAGTAAAAAAACTTCTTTGGATTATTTCTGTGTTTTTCTTTTGGTTCCTTTGAAGACAGTAGCTCTTCACATTTTTTTCTTATTTAATGAATGAGCACCAACGAGGCTCTCTGCTCCTAATAAAGATGGCAATCCTTGTGCTCAAAAGGATTGGTAGTTTAGCTCTTCTAATGGGGGCATTGCCCTTCTTCCCTGCCCCTCCCTCCAAAGAACTAAGCCCTGAGACAAACTGTATATAATAAATTCTTCTGATACCTCTAGAATGGTACTAGCTATATACTGTAGGAGAATTGAAAAAATTGTTACTCCAGTTCTTAATAACATAATAATATAAAGGCACACAAAAAGGAAGGGCGTCAAACTCAGTCTAAGTAAGATTTTCGAGAAAAGCCTAGAGGAGGTAATCCCTAAGGTGTTTCATGAGAGTCTTCATAGCTTTAGAGGATGTTCAGAGGAAAGGTTGTCTTAGGAAGAAGGAGTAAAGTTCAAGGCACACTTGTAAATAACTACATAGACCATGATTGTCCAGTGGTGGCAAGGGGTTCCATATGACTGGAGCAGAGGCAAAGGCAGGGTAGGGGACATAAAAGGGGGAAGAGGGTACCTGGGCGGCTCGGTGATTTGAGTGTCTGCCTTCGGCTCAGGGCATGATCCCGGGGTCCTGGGCTCAAGCCCCGCCTCGGGTTCCCCGCAGGGAACCTGGTTCTCCCTCTGCCTCTGTCTCTGCCTCTCTTTGTGTGTCTCTCATGAATAAATAAATAAAATCTTTTAAAAAGATAAAAGGAGGAAGAAATGAGGGTACGTATGTGTAGAACACTGAAGAATTTTTGTTTTCTCTAAATGAGAATTCGGAGGATTTTAAACAATGGAGAAACAGTAGATTGCTCTGACATCAACATGAGGAACACTGGAGGATGTGATGTTTTAATGAAGCAGGGAGACTGATTCAGGCTCTTACAAAAATGGAAGCAAACTGGATAAATGCCTCTTGAAAGGCATTGTTGAAAGAGTATTTAGGTTAGTTATTCAGTGCAACAAACCACCCTAAAACAGAGTGGCTTAAAGCAACAAATTGTTATTTCTCCCATTGCTATGGATCAGGGTGGGCAGACCTATGGAACACATCCAAAGTTAGAAAACTAGTCAACTAGAAGAGCTGAAATCCAAACCCATGCAGCCTGGATCCAGAAGCTGAGCGTTTAACCCCTGGGGTACAAGGGTTTCCTACCCTTGTAGGAGGTAGGAAAGGAGGAAGAGTCAAAAACACATGCAAAGAGGAAAGGACAAATTGCTGAGAGTCCCCAGATAGGTGGTCCCCTCCTGGTTGTCCCTGGCCTAGCTCCACAGGTGGCAAGGCCTGCCTCTCAGTCCCCTATCCAAAGGCCCCTGGCAATCCACCCCCCCCAACTTCTCTAAAGCCCAGAAGGGAGAGGGCATTGATTGCTGTCTCCATCACCCACAGTCTCAGGCCAAAGGAAGTCTCAGGCCTGCCAGAGGACCTAATAATGTTTCCAGGTAAGTGATTTAGCTCACCATAAAAACAGACACTTTGGGCAGCCCGGGTGGCTCAGCGGTTTAACGCCACCTTCAGTCCAGGGCCTGATCCTGGAGGCCCGGGATCCAGTCCCATGTCAGACTCCCTGCATGGAGCCTGCTTCTCCCTCTGCCTGTGTCTCTGCCTCTCCCTCCCTCTCTCTGTGTCTCTCATATGAATAAATAAATAAATATAATCTAAAAAAAAAAAAAAAAAACGAAAGACCTTTTTAATATTGTGCAGGCCTCTCAGCTTCTCATTGAGACTCTTCTCATCCCAGACTTGGGATCTGCCCATTCAAGTGCATTTCCTGCAAGAAGAGCACGTTTTCAAAAAAAACTGTTGGTAGAAGTAAAATAATTTAAGTCCAATCTGAAGACCCCTTTTCATGGTGGACCTTGAGAATAATGTAAAGCATGGTCAGCAAATTTTTCCTGTAAAGGATCAGATAATAACTATTTTAGGCTTTTGGGGTAGACAGTGTGTCACAGCCACTCTGCCACTGTATAATTCTGGGTCACATGCACAGCATAAAAATGAATGGGTAGGGGCAGCTGGCTGGCTCAGTTGCAAAAGCATGTGACTACTGATGTCAGGGTCAGGAGTTCTAGCCCCACACTGGGTGCAGAGATTACTAAAAAACAACAACAAAAATGTAAAAACCCCAAAACTTTAAAAATATGTATATTAAACAAAATGGGTATGCTTATGTTCCAACCAAGTTTTATGGACACCACAATACAAATTTCATATGATATCAGTATGTCACGAAATAGTCTTCTTTCTTTCCTCCATCATTTAAAAATGAAAAAACCATTCTTAACTCTCCAGCCATAAAAAATCAGGTGGCCGGTCGGATTTGGTTTCCTCCCCAGAGCCCGTCAATCCCAGACGTAAACTATTCTTAAAGTTTATCTCAAGAGTTAAAAACAATTAAAAATGGGAAACACCCACCAGTGTTAGCAACTGCAGGTAAGTCCAAGCACTTGCTAAGTGATCCATTCATTAGTCAAAGGGAGAAAAGGGGATCAGTCGGTAAAAGACAACTAATAGATTTTTTTAAAGCACAAAACATTTTACTGCAACCATCCTGGCCGGTTAACTTCAAATAGAAAATTTTGTCTTTTATCTTTATTTGTTTTTTTGAAAATTTTGGTTTTTATTTTTATTTATTTTTTGAAAGTTTTGTTTTTTAATAATAAAACTGAAATATGTGGGATCAACCTTAGTCTGTACCAACACATCATGTAAGAGTTTATTAGTCGTCTCTAGTAGTGGAGAGGAGAAAAGGAGCAAAATGTAAGCCCTGAAAATGAGCAAGTGGGGCACAGATCTCCATCAGCCTTCATAAGACTGTGTCCTAGACAATGTCCCATTAAAAACCGCTTTTTAAAATGCAATAAAAGGAGCGTAAGTTCAGAAACCATAAACGAGTGAGAAAATACTGGGAAGAAAATTTTTTCTTTTTGAAGACTTCCGGCTTCATTTTATACTACTTTGGCATGGACTGTATTTATTTTCAAAATGGCTTTGTTTTGTTGTTTTTCTTGGCAAGTTTTATTGTGAGTTTTCTAATTATGAAGCAAAATCTCTATTCTCCAATATGCTTTATGTGATAGTATTTAAAATTGATGTGAGTTATTATGTCAAAAACTGATTAAAGAAGTAATTGGCCTTTATGAGCTGATTTTTCCATCTTTTGTAATTATCTTTATTAAAAAATTGTACTTGGAAAAAAAGGAGTGTAAGTCTTCCTCGTCACTCAATAAATAACCCTTAAAATTAAATCAGCAATAAAAAATATTCAGTAATATAAGGTAACGCCCCCCCCCCAAAAAAAATAAAAAACCTGTCAAACTGCACAGTGTGCACAAGCTGAATGTGGTTGCTTCTGGGGAAAGAAGTGTGGCTGGGGAATTATTTTTTCGTTCTTAGTCTCTAACACTCGAAAAGCTGTGCATCTGTGATATTTTTAAGGCGAATTTTTAAAGATGAAATTGGGGGGAGGGGCGGGAAACTCCGTTGCTATGGCAACGCGAGGCGCGGCGTCCCCTTTGTTCGCCCCGGGCTCCACCCCTGACGTCGGCCCCGCCCCCAGTGGGCGGTGCCGCAGGGGGCGGAGCGTGAGCTGAAGCCCCGCCCCCTCCCCGTGTGACGTGCTGCGTTTCCGACGCCATCCTCCGCTCCCAACGGCTCCCCCGCCCTGGCCCAGAGGGCGGCGCCAGGCGGCAGCGGCGCGCGCCGGCCGGGCCCCGCCCCCTGCGGTGGAGCGTGTGCCGTCATTTCCGGCTTCTCTTCCCTCCGGTCCCGGGCGTGAGCCGTGAGGGGCGAGCGCGTGTGCCGAAGCCGCGGAACCATGGTGAGCCTGGCCCCGCGGCCCTGCCCAAGCCCCGCCGCCGCCCCCCCCCCCCGCCCCCGCCGCCCCTCGCGTCCGCCCTCCCGTCGCCGCAGGCTCCTCGTGTCCGTCCCATGAGGCCGCCCGCCGCGCATGGCGCGCGCCGCCGGCCGAGCCCTCTGTCGCTCCCGGGAGGGGGGGGGTGCGGGCCTCGGTGCCGCGTCCCGGGCGGTCTCGGCCGCTCCCAGGGCCCGACGCCCCGGGCTCAGCCCGCGCGGAGAAGCTTCTAGTGCCCGGGGCGGGCTGGCGCGGCAGGCCCCGCCCTCCTCGGCGGGGCGGGGCGGGGCGTGGAGCCGTGGGCGCAGATGGAGGCCCATGCCTGCCTCGGCCTCAAAGCCACCTTAATAACCCTTTTGTTTTTTTAAAGATTTATTTATTTATTTATTTATTTATTTATTTATTCATAATAGACACAGAGAGAGAGGGGCGGAGAAGCAGGCTCCACGCAGGAGCCCGACCTGGGCCTCGATCCCGTGACCCCGGGGTCACGCCCTGGGCCCAAGGCAGGCGCCAAACCGCTGAGCCACCCAGGGATCCCGAAGCCTTTTTTTTTTTTTTTTTAATATCTTATTTATTGATTAGAGGCAGAGACACAGGCGGACGGAGAAGCAGGCTCCACGCGGGGAGCGCGACGCAGGACTCGATCCCGGTACCCCGGGGTCACGGCCCGGGCGGCAAGCGGCGCTAGGGCTGCCCCGTGTTCAGCCTGCACAGCCCTCCTCTGCGCTGTGATGTTTACCCGGAGAGCGAGCGCCCGCAGATCCCCTCGTTCACACAGCTTTGCAGCCCCTCGCCCCCGCTTCCGCAGACCTCCGCCCCGGGGTGATGCACAACGTCATTTGCTGGGAGAAGCGCGCTTCTGCCGTGAACTGACCTCCTCTTAAATGCTTACATGTATTTCTAGCAGGAATGCATCACTGTATATACGCGTTAAATATTGGTATTCAAGCTGATTGTTGATTTTTTTTTTCTTTCAGGCGTCCCTTTCCCTCGCACCTGTGAACATCTTCAAGGCTGGAGCTGATGAAGAGAGAGCGGAGACGGCTCGGCTGGTAAGCCGCCTTCTCCCATTCTCTAAAAGTCTTGCTGTTGCACTTTAGGAATTTTCAGACTGTAAGATTGATTTTTACTTTTAATTTCTCTCTCTCTCTCTTTTTTTTAAATTACTCCAGTCATCTTTTATTGGTGCCATTGCTATTGGAGACTTGGTGAAGAGCACCCTAGGACCTAAGGGCATGGTAAGGACAACAAGGAATCCGTATGGTTCGATGCTGCTTGAGAGCCATTGTGGTTTGTTGCTGCTTGAGAGCCGTTGTTGGAAATCTAGTTAAGAACTCCCTCTTTGGGTTTTTTTTTTTTTAATATTTTATTTATTCATTAGGCAGAGACACAGGCAGAGGGAGAAGCAGGCTCCATGCAGGGAGCCTCATGTGGGACTTGATCCCAGGACTTCAGGATCATGCCTTGAGCTAAAGGCAGATGCTTAGCCACTGAGCTACCCAGGCGTTCCTCTGGGGATGCTTTTTATTTTTATTTTTATTTTTATTTTTTTTAAATATTTTTATTTATTTATTCATAGAGACACACAGAGAGAGAGAGAGGCAGACACAGGCAGAGGGAGAAGCAGGCTCCATGCAGGAAGCCCGATGTGGGACTCGATCCCAGGTCTCCAGGATCACACCCTGGGCTGCAGGCGGCGCTAAACCGCTGCGCCACCGGGGCTGCCCTGGGGATGCTTTTTAAACTTCAAAATTAACTTTTATATACATTAAGACATGGATAGGTTCTCTTTCCTAAAAATCAGAACAGTACTGATACAACTAAAGCCCCTTAGACCACCATCTTCAGTCCCTTCTCCAGTGACAACCATTCTTCTATCTGGATGTAAATATTCCCAATAGATTTAGGTGCCTATTATGTGTTTTGCTACATGTATTCTTTAAAGATACTACTATGTGTACTTTTTCTGTAGGTTTTTTTAAAAAATATTTTATTTATTCATGAGAGAGAGAGAGGCAGAGACACAGGCAGAGGGAGAAGCAGCCTCCACGCAGGGAGCCCAACGTGGGACTCAATCCCCGGTCTCCAGGATCAGGCTCTGGGCTGAAGGTGGCGCTAAGCTGCTGAGCCACCCAGGCTGCCCCTTTTCTGTAGGTTTTAAGAAAATCCTTTTTAATATAGATAATCTGTATTTTCTATTAAACCACATTGAGGGACACGTTTGTTTCCATTGTTTTTGCTATTACAGTGCTGAAACAACCTGGTTCATGTCTCCTTGTTTGAGTGTTTTTAGGGACAAACACCAAGGTTTGTTTACAGAGTGTATGCACTGGAAAAATTTGGATTTTTGCCAAATTGCCATCCAGAGTATTTACACGTTAGCAGAATATGAGAGTACTGATTGACCAGTACATTCTTCCAGATGTGTTTGTATCTTAACTTGAATCAAATCTGTTCCTTTTAGGATAAAATTCTATTAAGCAGTGGACGAGATGCTTCTCTTATGGTAACCAATGATGGTGCAACTATTCTAAAAAACATCGGTGTGGACAATCCAGCAGCTAAAGTTTTAGTTGGTAAGTCTGAAAGTGATAGTTTTTTTTACCATTTTTAAAACACATTTTTTTAAAATTTATTTTTGAAAAGATTTTATTTATTTACTCATGAGAGACAGAGGGAGAGAGGCAAAGACACAGAGGGAGAATCAGGCTCCATGCACGGAGCCCGATGTGGGACTCGATCCCAGGACCCCAGGATCACGCCCTGAGCCGAAGGCAGGTGCTAAACCACTGAGCCACCTGGGTGCCCCTGAAATGATTTTTAACTAGGCTTTATTGACTACTTTCAGTTAATTGATGTCCAATTTTTAATTACTACCATTAGTAAACTAAAAGCTTCTGAAGTGCCATGCTATTAATATAAAACATTTCTAGGCTGAGAATCTCTAAAGAGTTTGTCTGGTAAGGAAACTTACATCAGTGAGATTGAGGTTATTAGTCAATATGTTTGGAGAATTAGGTAAGCTATGGAGAAGTAATTCAGAATGCATTTATATAAAATATAAATGAGTTACGAACTAGTTTCTTACTTCTAGATATGTCAAGGGTTCAAGATGATGAAGTTGGTGATGGTACTACCTCTGTTACTGTGCTAGCAGCAGAATTACTAAGGGTAAGGGTATCTGAGCAACTTTAACCTCATTTTACTGTTTTTTGCTCTTGTATCAGAAGTAGTTGAGTTCTTTCTGTGTATTTTCTATTGAATGTTTTCCACTGTTTATTAATAGGAAGCAGAAACTTTGATTGCAAAAAAGATTCACCCACAGACCATCATTGCGGGTTGGAGAGAAGCCACAAAGGCAGCAAGACAGGCTCTGTTGAATTCTGCAGTTGATCATGGGTCAGTATACCAGAATAATACTGTTTTAAACTTTTAACATTTTTTTCAAAATGATGCTCGATGCAGGAAGTTTGGAGAATAGTGAAGAGCATACAGAAACATGACCCTGTTGCCTCATCCTGTCCCAATAACAAAACATCCCCACATTACACTCCAGAATGTAAAATCACAAAAAACAAAACACAGAGTCATTGTGTAGAGGGTTTTTTAGCTTCTAACTTAATTGAATAATAAGCATATTTCTGAATGTTAATATTTTCTTCAATATTTTAACAGGTAAACATTTGATTATAGTGTAATTTATCTATCTAGAGTTGGAGATCTGTATTTTGATAAATTTAAGATTTACAATAACAGTTGTGACAAACCTCTTAACCAGAAAAATGTTTCAGGAAGTGTAATTGTTGGGTCCAAATGTATATGTGTATTTGAAGACATTTTTATTTACAAATAATTCTCTAGAGAACCTTTATTTTTACTCTCGATAATCTGTATAGCAATACTCATTTATCCATGTTCTTGAAGCATTTGGTATTATTTTGTCTGCTTGTGTTTCTATTTTGGTGTGCTGCCAGATTGGTGGGGAAGGTGTAGTATCCTTTAATTGTGCGTTTCTTGATTGCTGGTGAACTTTAATTCTTTTGCCAAAGCTTAGAGCCCCGACTGGGGTGAAATTATCTTTTGACAAGTATTTGGATGAATTTTGAAAAGAAAAATAGGACTGATATCTTTGGAGAAGCATTTTAAAAACAGGCATGAGTCTTTTTGCCTTTTTTTTTTTTTTCTTTTAGTTCTGACGAAGTTAAGTTCCGTCAAGATTTAATGAACATTGCGGGAACAACATTGTCCTCAAAACTTCTTACTCATCACAAAGACCACTTTACTCAGTTAGCCGTAGAAGCTGTTCTCAGACTGAAAGGCTCTGGTAATCTGGAGGCAATTCATGTCATCAAGAAGCTAGGAGGAAGTCTGGCAGATTCCTATTTAGATGAAGGTATGTGTGTGTTGAATATGGGAAAACAGGCTTTCGTCAGGTGTTGAAGGATAAATAGTGAATCTTTTTAGCTCGTTGGGACTAGTGACACTTTACAAAGCCAGAAAAGTCTTGAAGGGTACAAATCATATTGCAACTGTTTTTGTCTTTTTAATCCACTTCTTGTACTTAACTGTGTGCTTCATTTCACACCATGCCAGCATTTCTTTGATAATCTCAAAGGTTTCACTTTATACCTTGAAGTTCTTGCAGTCTCTAGTAAAGAAATTACAGTTTTAATAAAAGCTATTCTGAAATGGCACTTTTTCCAGGAAGTTTGTGTAAGTCGTATCATTTAGCTGGTAGGTATTGAAGTTTTAGTTCTTGGTTTTCTTAAAAAGGAATAAATGTTTTAGCAACTACAATTTCCTTAGTAATAACATATTTTGTTCTTAGAGTATGAATTTTTCAAAATACCTTAATTAAATTCAGTTAGCTAATGTAGTATACCGTTAGTTTCATTTGCAGTGTTCAATAATTTATCAGTTGCATATGACATGTAGCGCCTATCGTATCACGTGCCTTGCTCAATGCCCATCACCCAGCTACCCCATCCCCCTACCCCGAAACATGTTAATATTGTATTTACCAAATGTGTAAGCATTCTCTTGTATAGAGGAGAAACAGCTTTACCAGTGATTTGTCTCCAAATCTTACTGTATGTTATTTGTCTCTATTTCAAGGGAGTAACAATTCTGAAAATAGACTCTTGTTGAATTTATATGCAAGGGCTGTGTAGCATTTTTAATAGGGGCTAATGGTGAGGAAAGGTAATGAAAACAGGATAGCTACCATTTTTGAGTGTTCTGTACAAGTATTCTAATACAAATTTTGCTTAAAATGTCGTTTATTCCTCATGGTATCGATTCCAGTGATTGAGAATTAGGTTCATCTGAATAGAGCAGAAAACTCAAGATGGTAATGGCTTAAAAAGGTGAAAGTTATGTGTGCATCTAAAGGAAGCCTGGAAAGAGAATTCCAAATCACAGGCCCATAGGCTGGAAACTAGAATCTTTGCCAGTGATGATAACTCTTGTTTTACACATGAATAGCTAAGGTTAATTTGTCCAAGGTTGCACACATAGAGCATGTAAGCAGCATGGACATGATTGGGACTAGGTTTGTCTGACTCCATTGTACATGCATTTTTTTCTTTTCTTTTTTTAAATTTTATCACCAGCCTCAGTTCTTTAAAAAGCTTAGTAATCTCTAGCAATACCTTGTTTTCCTGAATCTTCACCATTTTTCTTTTGGGTTGGTTTTAAGCTAATGAAAGTGGACTTAGTAGCTTATATTACAATCCACAACTGCATATTTTGTTACATGTGAAACAAGTTTCAAAATACTATATTTATTCTTAATATTTGTGCTGTGCCCTTAAGATATCCACCTGCTAAATTGATTTTTATGATCACTTGCTTTAGTGAAAAGCTTTATAGGTTCTAGGAATTTGGGAATTGGACTTAAATGTGTTCTTTGAAAGAGTAATTTAATAAAGCAGACATAAAGATTTATCAACATATTTTTGAAGTATTACAACACTCTATTGTAGGTTTTCTGTTGGATAAAAAAATTGGAGTAAATCAACCAAAGCGAATTGAAAATGCTAAAATTCTCATTGCAAATACTGGTATGGATACAGACAAAATAAAGGTACGTTCACTATGTTTCTTGGAATTCTAATTATTAGCTGCTTTATAAACTCAGGCTCAAAATGAGTTGTGCTAAAAAAAAACCTAGAACATATATGAATGTATTCAAATATGTCGTTTTAGTGTATTTACATAAAAATGTTTTTGATGTGGGACTCTTAAAAGTAAAGAAAGTGATCCTACTGTTTATGCTTTTGTCTTAGATATTTGGTTCCAGAGTAAGAGTTGATTCTACAGCAAAGGTTGCTGAAATAGAACATGCCGAAAAGGAAAAAATGAAGGAGAAAGTTGAACGTATTCTTAAGCATGGGATAAATTGCTTTATTAACAGGTATGTATGTGCTTTTGCTAACAATATTTGTAATAATCTAATAAATGGTTTTTGTCTACAAAGACTTACGGAAATACTTCATATTGAATTAGTGACATGTTATTAGGAACTGGTGTTTTTTTTTTTTTCCCAAATAGAATTTTATAATGGCATTTGCATCACAATGATGGTACTGTTTTACGTTAATATACTTAATAAGCTTTGTTACATTAATAAGTTTTCTGCTCTGGCAGTTACATTTTAGTCTTGGGCTATAGTGTATACTATAGTAGTAGAGAGATTTTTTTTTTGGATACTTTTCCCCCCCCAAAGATTTTATTTACTTATTAGAGACAGAGGCAGAAACACAAGCAGAGAGGGAGAAGCAGGTTCCACACAGGGAACCCAATGTGAGACTCGCTCCCTGGACCCAGGGATCATGACCTGAGCCACCCAGACGTCCCTGGTGAAGAGATTCAATTCCATATTAAAGTGGTGGGAGTTTGAAGTAGCCAAAAACCAATAGCAAAGGAATAAAACAAGAATGAAGAGATGAAAAGTAATAGTTTTAGGTCTTTTTTTTTGTATGAAAGTATGTGTAAACTGTGAATTTTTAATTGTTAGTATCTAAGGTGTCGGTAGATTTTTGTTTTCCCCCAAAGGCAATAGAAAAGTTTTTTCAAAAAAAAAAAAAAAGTCATGACTCTATCCACTCCAGTGGCCTGAGGCAGCATAACACGGAATCCGTGTCCAGGAGGTAGGCACTCGCTCACAGCTTTCTTCCATCTCTGAGTAATCGATATTACGGGGCCACATACCCAGGATCCAACGGTAGTGACTGCCACTCACGGTAGGGTCTAGAGTGGGCAGTAGAGGAGTCCGGTACTCACCGTGTCGCCCTTTTGCTCCAGAAGCCCAGGCTGGAGTTTGGGTAGAAAGTCTTCTAATTGCTTCCAGGTTCGGGTGGCCTGAACCCACTGCTTTGAACTATTTGTTCATTCCTACCTCAGGGTCTCTGTCTAATTTTCTCTACTTAAATCCTTTGGATTGTTTTAAATGGTGAAAAGACCAAGAGGAACAGCTTATTCCTAGCAATAAAATGGCAGTGGTTAACTTTGACAGTTGATATTTGATGGAAAATCAAATATTTGCAGGGAGGGGCAAAGAGAATCCTAAGCAGGCTGTATGCCCAGTGTGGAGCCTGATGTGGGGCTGTATCCCACGGCCATGAAATCATGACCTGAGCTAAAATCAAGAGTTGGGGGCTTAACTGAGCCAACCAGAGGAGACCCTTATACGGATTATTTGTTTAAAAATTTTTTTTAAGTTCTAAACTTCTAAATGTGTCCTTTTTACTCCTATTATAAAAATAACATGCTCATTTTGGGAGATAAAAAAGTATAAAAAAGGAACAATCTGAGGTCTAACCTTCCTGAAATTTTTATTAAGCCGACTTTGTATGTGTGGTTTCTAATTCCAGTTTTTCACTTAGTTGTGAACATAGGCCTTTATAACTCGCCTTTTTTTTTTTTTTACTTAACAAACAGTATAAATTTTTACTTAAAATATCAAGCTTTCATAATTGGTAAATGGTGATTTGCACACATTCCTTAAAATATCAAGCTTTCATAATTGGTGAATTGTGATTTGCACACATTCCTGATAGACTTTGAGTCATTGGCAGGTTTTGCTGTTGATTGTAAAAATTTTTATACATCCCTTCATTAAAGATTTTTAACATCTAAATTCATTTTCTTGCTGTAGAGCCTCCAAAGTGGAATTAAAGCATGTGAGCATTGATAGGTTTTTGGTGGATTTCTGTTACATTGCTTTTCAGGATTATGGTCCGGTTTATCCTGTCAATAGCAATATAAAAAAACTATCTGTTTGCAGTGCTATTGCAGTTAAGTTATATAATTTATGAATTACTGCATAGGGAAGATAGGGGATTTCTAATTTGTATTTCCTTATTGGTAAGGAAAAAATGGTTCCGTGTTTTTTAGCCTTGTGAAGTAACAATTTTGAACATTTTTATTTATAGGCAGTTAATTTACAATTACCCTGAACAGCTCTTTGGTGCTGCTGGTGTTATGGCTATCGAACATGCAGATTTTGCAGGTGTGGAACGCCTAGCTCTTGTTACAGGTAGGAGAAAAAAGACATTAATTTCGAACATTAATCACTCTTGGATTTATTGAATGTTAATATATGTAATTTACACTGTTCAGAGTAAAAAGACATACTTTTTAAGGGACTTGAGAATATCTTCATTATTCTCAGAAACAGTTTTTGACATCCTTAGATAACCAAATTATCTGCCATGTTTGCTATAGCTATAGGTACCTTTTTGTTGCATTGTTTTAAAGATAATAGGTCTTTTCTCACAAACGCACAGGACCAGTGTTCTACCCTAGTCTAAAACTAAACCTTAAGAAGGACTAAGTTTTATCTAGTTTATTCATTTGTTTATTTCTAGTGCTAAGTCTCAAATGCTTTGTGCTCTTTGCAGTGGTAAGTTATAATAGTGACCTTTACTGAACACTTGACTGTGTCAGAGTGTGGGTCCAGTGCTTAAACATTATTTCTGTTAATTTTTTTAAATTTGTGGAAGTAATGTTGAACTATGTGTGAAACAATCCAGCAATGAATAATGAAAAGTTAGTATAGTATGATACACTCCAATAGAGGTATGAGATTGAAAATCCCAGTTGTGTGGAATAGAAATTTGTTTAAAATTAAATAAGATAATGTCTGACATCAAAATGACAACGAGCAACTTGTTGACTTTTTATTGTAGTAATAGTTTTTAAAATAACCACTAAGTAGCCCTTGAAAGACTACGTTTTGCAGCCTTTATTCTCTAATTTTCAGGGCTTTGAAAATGAATGAATGGGTTGGAAAGTTGGTTTGCGATCCTGCAATGAGAATTAAGAAGAGGGTTTTGAGATATAAAATCAGTTTTTGAGTGCTATGAGTATTAGAAGTATGCTAATTATTATTAAGGGTAGAATTGGTTTCATCTCAGAGTAACTTCTTAATCCACTCTTAATATTTTGAGAAGTGTGGTCTTCTGACCTAAAAAGAGATGTTTTTCCTTTAATTACTTTGAAGAGAGGTTACTTGCTTTAATTAAAGTTCTTTAAGAGCCATTACGGGAGCAGCCTGGGTGGCTCAGTGGTTTAGCGCTGCCTTCAGTCCAGGGCGTGGTCCTGGAGAACTGGGATCGAGTCCCACATTTCTCACTCTGCCTGTGTCTCTGCCTCTCTCTTTCTCTGTAACTCTCATGAATAAATGAATAAAATCTAAAAAAAAAAAAAAGCCATTAAGGTACTTGGAGTTTTTTTTTTTTTTCTTAAGATTTTATTTTTATTTATTTATTCATGATTGAGAGAAGCAGGCTCCCTGCAGGGAAGGGGGCCCAATGTGGGACTCGATCCTGGAAATCCAGGACCATGACCTGAGCTGAGGGCAGACACTCAACCACTGAGCCACCCAGGCTTCCCCATACTTAAAGAGTTCTTTAAGAGCCATTACATATATATCACTTGCTTAAGGTGATAAAATTTACGGGGTAATTACTCCTTTAAGGCAAAAAATTAAAGATCACGACATAAGAAATAAACGTTAATGATAGCACATTCATGGGATAAGTTTGATATCGACTTGATACATTGCCACATATACTCAGAAGAAAATTCACTGCGCCAAGCACAACCAAATGCAACGGTAACCCTGTGGTTCCTCCCATTCTTAACTTGTGTGTTGTCAAGATGTGTGAAGTTGGCTTTCGTAATGTCTAGAAATATTTTCTCAGATGTGGCTAAGTGAAAATTCTCATTAGCCAAATTAGTCTCATTTTGGGGGTGTGGTGTCGAAAATACCTTGCGTCTCACATCTAGAACACATAGCAGGCTCAGGCGCAGACCAGTCAAGCTTCAGCTGTACAGATGAGTATAAATCAGCTGAGTTGGAAAGATCCGAGTCCTTTTAATAAATTTTCTGTAAATTAGATGTCAAGTATCAGTAATTCAGACTTAACAGTAAGGAGTATGAAAAGGATGTTGATAGAGGGAATCTGCTTTATTAAAAGAGTAATAAACTTAGAGAAAAGGATTTTAAGATGGAAACAATTTTTGCAGTTAAAACCAGGAAAGGAAATGGCTGAACCTTTCAGTTTACACCATGGAAGATGGAGGGAAAATAAGGAATAGAAATAAGACACAATAAAATATATTTAGTTTTTGTTTTAAAAGATTTTATTTATTTGAGAGAGAGTACATGGGAGAGGAGCTGCTGAGGGAGAGGGACAAGCTACTCCACACTTGAGTGTGAGTGCGAGCCTGACACACCACTCTTATCTCATGACCCTGAGATCATAAACTGAGCCAAAACCAAGAGTTGGACGCTTAACCGACTGAGCCACACAGGTGCCCCAAGATACATTTACTTTTTTGACACCTCATGAGGTTTGCTCTGGGAAATTCTTAATATAGGTCTCCCCTTTTTCTAAGTCTTAACAGGGGCTTTCTGAGATTTCAGTTGATGATTAGCAGGTTTCTGATACTCTAAGCAGTTTCTAATGTCTACATCTGTTGACGTAATGAAAGAGTCAAATACTTTCATATTTTGGGAAATTGGATCATAAGGGTACTAGTCGTCTAGACCAGATTCAACAGAGAATCTGAATTTAAATTCAGACTTAACAGTAAATGTTAAAATCCCAGTTTAACCTTATGGAAATAGAGTATGCACAGGTAAGTCTGAAAACAGAGAATTTGGATTTGAATCCCAGCTTCACCGTATTTTTGTTTGAGCTATGTAACCTTGAACAAGAAGCTAAGTATCTCTTTGCCTCAATTTTATTATTTCGTATCGAGTAATAACATCTCTCAGAGTTTTTGTATAAAGATTAGTCAATTTATGTGAAGTGCTTAAAAGAGTGCTTGGTATATAGTAAGCAATCAACTTAAATGTGTTCATTAGTTCTTGATAGAAAACAAATTTTAAACATGTGCGTTTAACCAACATATGTTCATGTTCATAGGTGGTGAAATTGCCTCTACCTTTGACCACCCAGAACTAGTGAAGCTTGGAAGTTGCAAGCTTATTGAAGAAGTCATGATTGGAGAAGATAAACTTATCCACTTTTCTGGGGTAGCCCTTGGTAAGTGATTATGTAGATCCTGATTTAGGTTCCTAAATCTTTGATAGGCTTGATTGAATTTAAAAGAAATAGTTATTAATGTTTAGTGGAATGTGATGTGTCTTAATTCTTGAGAAGCATAGGATGCATGTTAATTTCAGTCTCTTGAGGTCAGATTCATGTTAACCTTGCCTTTGTGAACAGTGTATATTCAACGTGATTGTTTTCTAGATAATTTAGAATTACTGTGAACATGGATTATTAGCAAAAAAGAACGTATAACAGCAGAGGACATGTTCATTTTTAAATCAAGTAGTAATCATAACCAGTATCTGCATAAATAGAAGACAAACTCTTACTGTTATGTAACTAAATATTCACGGTGACCTAAGAATATTATTTTTTAACTTCAGGTGAAGCTTGTACCATTGTTCTGCGTGGGGCCACTCAACAGATTTTAGATGAAGCAGAAAGATCTTTGCATGATGCTCTTTGTGTTCTTGCCCAAACTGTGAAGGATTCTAGAACAGTGTATGGAGGAGGTAAGTGTTTTAAAAGTATTAAACCATGTTTTATAAAGACAGTAAATGTTTTGGCTATAATGATATGATAGATATAGTGCATTTATACTTAATTTTAAAATATTTTACATGTTTGAAGGAAAATCAGTAATTGAGTTTGTTGGAGATAACTAACCATCATATTTTACTGGAATTTCATTTTAATCTGAAGGCTGTTCTGAGATGCTGATGGCTCATGCTGTGACACAGCTTGCCAGTAGAACACCAGGCAAAGAAGCTGTTGCGATGGAGTCTTACGCTAAAGCACTGAGAATGGTAAGTTGATAAAGAGATCTGAATTTATAAATTTTGTGAGTGTTGATGGTTTTTTAAATGAATACATTTTTCTGTCTTGGACACATTTGTGTTTTTGACTTTAAGAAAATACTGGTTCACACTGCTTAAATTTGATTCTGTAGTTTATGATGAGTAGTAATTACAAAGGGAACAATTTTGCGTTGCATATAAATGTATGATTTTTAAAAGTCCTAGGTGGAAGTAAATGAACTCTTAGAGTAGAATGGTTACCGTTTGTCTTTTTCACTTTATAGCTGCCAACTATCATAGCTGATAACGCAGGCTACGACAGTGCAGACCTGGTGGCCCAGCTGCGAGCTGCCCACAGTGAAGGCAACACAACTGCTGGCCTGGGTAAGAAGTAGGTTAGAACCCTGTAATAAGTAAGGGTAATAACTCTTTACCAAATTTTTTTTTTTTTTTTAAGATGAATTCTGGTAACCATAGAGAAGATTCCTGTGGTGCTTGCCTCCGTAACCATTACATATCTTAGGAGAATGTTTAACTTCCTATTTTCAGCACTTTCATAAGTGTTCTTCATAAGGGGTTATAGAGTTAGTTAGAAGACTTGTAATTAGTTTACTATGTGGTGGCTAGGATTTAAATACATAAATCGTACTAATATCCTGAAATAAATGTAAACTTTGTTAAGTTTCTTAGAGTATAATCAACATTAAATCCTAATCTCACTGGGAAACTTATTAAGAGATGAAACATTCTTGAGTGCAGATCTTTTTTTTTTCAGACCTTTGATACATAGATAAAAGTGGCCAAAGAGGTAGATTTAATAATTCAAATAGAAAAATTTCCCAGTCAACTGTCCAAGACATAGGAGCAGTCATAGAGGATAGATAATTCTGCACCGGAGAAGAGAGAGCTAATGAATAATATCTGTCAAAAAGTCAAGTATTGCATTCTCTAAAAAGGAAAAGTAGATGGCTTTTGAATTCTCTTCCAGTTCTTAAGAATCCATGGTAATTAGTGATGAGCGCATTTTTTGCAGTAATTTTATATATACGTGTGTACATATATATACACATACACGCGTGTATATAGATAAAAACAGGGGACGCCTGGGTGGCTCAGAGGTTGGGCACCTGCCTTCTGCCCAGGGCGTGTGATCCTGGATTCCCGGGATTGAGTCCCGCATCGGGCTCCCTGCATAGGGCCTGCTTCTTTCTCTGCCTATGTCTCTGCCTCTCTCCCTCTTTGTCTCTCATGAATAAATAAATAAAAATCTAAAAAAAATAAAAATAAAATAATAAAACAGGTGATTGGGTTTTCTGTGTAAAATTTCTATTACCTGACCTAGTTGTCTTCCATTAATACAGATGATCCAATAATTGACATTTTCATTTTCTAAAAGGCTTGAATTAGGTTGATGAAATTTCTCTAACAAATTGAGTAGTGTGGTCTTGTAATCTCATTTTTCATAACGATTAATTTTATTTGTTGTATATCATTAGGGATATTTTGGTTAAATTTAGTTAAAACTGTAGTTATTTAGTAAATTACTTTCTCTCTTCAGATATGAAGGAAGGTACCATCGGAGATATGGCAGTACTGGGTATAACAGAAAGTTTCCAAGTGAAGCGACAAGTTCTTTTGAGTGCAGCTGAAGCAGCAGAGGTGATTCTGCGTGTGGACAACATTATCAAAGCAGCACCAAGGTATTGTAGCATTTTATTTTATAATTTTTATTGTAGCATTTTAATGAACAGTTTTTAGGAAGCAACAAATAGATGATTGTATTTGGTAATTGTAGTTGATAGAAAAAGGCATTTTTGTGTAGCTAAAATGTTATGCATGTTATTTAAAATACGTAGTCACAACTCTTAGATTTAAGGCAGAAAAGCTTAAGAGAGAGGAATGGGTGACATAGAGGAGCTCACAGGATTGAAAGGTCACATCAAGAGCCAGGCTTGAAAAGGTCAAAACCAGATTGGGGGTGAAGGGCTGTAGTAGTAAGAACAAATGTCTTTTCACCAGGCTGAGTCTGCAGGCTCCATGCTAGGAGCCCGATGTGGGACTCGATCCCGGGTCTCCAGAAGGGCGCCTGGGGCCAAAGGCAGGCACTAAACCGCCGAGCCACCCAGGGATCCCCACAGTTAATAATTTTAATTGTTCTTACTAGTAGTTATTAAAAATGTTAATTTTGCCTGTTCAGTGGCCGTGGTTCAGGGATATGGGGTGGGGAGGACGGTGGCTTGTACCAGTAGATACAGGTAAGGTTGGTGAGAAGAGCTGGTAAAAGATTTTGAAGTAGAGCCAGCGAAGTTTGATTATGGTTTGGATATAAGGTGTGAGAGGAGGGATCCCTGGGTGGCTCAGTGGTTTGGCGCCTGCCTTTGGCCCAGGGCGCGATCCTGGAGATCCGGGATCGAGTCCCGCATCAGGCTCCTGGCATGGAGCCTGCGTCTCTGCCTCTCTCTCTCTAGACTCTCTGTGTGTGACTATCATAAATAAATAAAAAAAATAAAAATGTGTGAGAGGAAAGGGAAATGAAGGCTCATCCAAGGTTTTTCTTGGAGAAATGAGAATTTCTCTTAGATGCAGAAGACTTTGGGAAGGAGGGTGGGGGTGTCAGACTTGGACATTTGAGCTTTCCATTGTGAAGGCAGTTGGGTAGTTGAGTCTGTAGTTTAGGAGAGAAGTTTGAGGTGTGATTGCTAAGTTTAGGAGTTGTCAGCCTACATGTGGCATTCAAAGCCATGAGACTGATTGTGTCCCCAAGAGAGGGAATGTAGCTAAAGGAAGAAAGCGGTTTTAAGCACTGAACACTTGAGAGCTTCAGTGGTAAGTTTAGGAAGATTCAGAGCAACTGGCAGAGGACACTAACAAGGAACAAAAGTATGGATAAAGGATAATTATTAAAACTGGGTAATGGATACATGGGGATTCTTTATACATTTTCTGTATGTTTGAAATTTTCCATAATACAGAATTTGAAAGGTTGGTGTGGGTGCCACTGAGGTAGGAGGAAGACCAGGAAATGTGTGTCTCAAAAGCCAAATGAAAAAGTGCTTAGGGGTGGGGAGTGATCACCACGGTGATAAGAATAAATAAGATAAAGCCTGAAAATTGACCTTAAAGATTGATTTAGCAAAGAGGCTGTTGGTATTTTTAACAAGCAGTTTTGTGGAGTGGAGGGGACAAGTCTAAATTAGGTTCAACAGAGGCCAGGGGAAGAATTGGAGGAAATGTATGTATAAACTGCTTTCTCGGGGAGTCTCTTGTGAATGGGAGCTAGAGAATATGGGTCTCTACAGTGAGCATTCAGTGCTGTCAGTGGGAGTGATCTCGGGGGGTGATGGATGCAGGAGGGGGGGCAGCCCGCTGAGTGGCTGTGAGGAGGAATGGGAGAACAAGAGGAGGGCTTGGTTTTAGATGGGAGCACGGAGAGTTCGTTTCTGGAACAGGAGGGTAGGAGGAGCACTATGAGATTAGATTGCACCTTAAATGGACTCTGTCACAAGGATTCTCTGTGCGGAACCCGGTAGCACCCACTTCAGTGGCTTTCTTCCTGTGAATGGCAGCTGTTCTATTACTATTAGAAGAAGGAAAGAGGAGAAAATAGCGATTTGGACATGGAGAGAAAAGGGGAAATGGTATTTAAATCTGTGGTATAGTGGAAGGAAAACTGGGCTGAAAAATCTGAAGATTCTCTAGTCCTGGTACTGTGATAGGGTAGGGTAATGAGGACTGCTCATGTTTTGGAATGGAACATTGGTGAGGGAAGGAGAAGTTGAGAGTTTTCTTGGAATTATGCCAGCAAGTTGGTTAAGTATTGTTTGGGTTTTTTTTTAAGATTTTTAAAATTTTATTTATTTATGAGAGACAGGGAGGCAGAGACAACAGGCAGAGGGAGAAACAGGCTCCTTGTGGGGAACCTGATAGCAGGACTCGCTCCCAGGACCCCGGGATCACAACCGGAGCCAAAAGCAGATGCTCAACTGCTAAGCCACCCAGGTGCCCCATATCCTGTCTTTAAGCAAAATGATAGCAAAGGGAAACTGGTCTATCAGGTTTTCTGGATTGGCGGCAAGGTCTGCCACCCACTCGTCATTGCAGTGACTTGGTACTCTCAGCCACATTTGAAGTACACACGATAATACCTCGTTTGAACTGATGTCACTGTATGTATGTATGTATGTATGTGTGTATTTATTTATTTATTTATTTATATTTTGTTTATTTATTCATGAGAGACAGAGACACAGGCAGAGGGAGAAGCAGGCTCCTTGGGTGGAGCCCGATGCGGGACTCGATCCCAGGACTCCAGGATCACGCCCTGGGCGGAAGGCAGGCGCTAAACCGCTGAGCCACCCAGGCATCCCAGCTGTCACTGTTTCAGTGGTTTAAGTCTTTATTAAATTTGGTAGACGTTCTCAGTAATTTGCAGTAAAGAAACATTGAGTAATTGTGTTTAACTCCACCTTCTCAAACATACTGGACTCTGGCGACTCCTCATATTTTACCTCCAGGGGACTCGTTTTCCCGGAGTTGACCTGTGACAGCTGCTGGAGAACTTTTTCTGTTACCGATGTTTTTCAGCGTCCTGTAGTCATCCCATAAAACTTCCAGGGTTAAAGATCTTCTTTTAAGGTTTTTAAAATGTTTATTCATGAGAGAGTCAGAGAGAGGGGCAGAGGAAAGAAGCAGGCTCCCCGCAAGGAACCCAATGCGAAACTTGATCCCGGACCCTGGGATCACGCCCTGAGCTGCAGGCAGACGCTCAACCACTGAGCCACCCGGGTGTCCTGAAGATCTTTCTCTATATGGTCCCAGTATGCTGCTCTTTGGATCTGTTTGTATGCTTTTTCTGCTTCTCTAGAATGATTGTTGTACTTGCCTCTAGAAGCAGTGCTTACATAGGCACTAAGTAAAAAAATTCTCTAGTACACCTGCCATGCCGCCTTCTTGAGAGATTCATTATTTTCTCACCAGAGAATAAAAGTTTAAAATCTAAGATGTATGTGAAAGGCATTGTCGATATACTTGAGTGAGTTGTCTGACCCTTTTCTAGCTTACTTGCTGGCGTTTGTTTTCATTTGTTTAGGATAGTGATCCAGAGATGTTCATCTAGATGCCCAAAGCCTTGTCATTTTACAACTTCTGGTTAAGAGTAAACTGTCTTTGTCTTTGATTTAGTAAAATGACTAACACATTAGTTGAAAACATGAATTAGCCTTTTTTGGGGAGAACGTGTATTTGTTAAATAAGTTGTTTAGAGAAGTTGAGAATTGTTACATATCTATAGGTCTTCACATTCCACAGATTTTGTAATGGCTTCTTACTAATACAGTAATAATTGAGGGATGTTAGTTACGAGGTAGAAACATCCTTGTTATAGGGGATTGGTTTTAATGGTTTCAGGATTCCAGATGGGTTTGTATTTAATGTAAACCTTTGGTTACAATCCTGCTTTTCAGTTTTACCATTGCGTTTTTCTTAAGTGTTGTTTTGTAATATTTGCAGGAAACGTGTCCCTGATCACCACCCCTGTTAAACATTCCCATGTGCTGTTGAGCTCTGGACCAGTTAGTTCATAGCAAAGTTGTGTTTGAAAGACTTCGACCTCTCAAAGAAGACTGTGGAATCGAAGTTTATCTGTGGCTCTTATATCCTTAAGTTTGGACATATAACTGACCTTCTATTTTAACATGGGTCTAATTTATTTGCTGTTTCATTTTCCATAAGATTCAGATGATTTAAAAGTTTGTTTCTCATACTGTGCATCAAAATAAAAATTTGAACAATTATTGTTCTTATCTTAGTGGTTTGTATCATTTCTAATCATTTAATGGGAACAAACGGTTATACTCTATAGAGTTGTTTGGTTTCACTAATGATTGACTTTCTATGTTTTTGAAATAACGATCTTGTCCAGTCCAAGTTAGATGTGATAAATACAGGTTACTCTCTTGGTTTGTAATTGTATATAGCTTTTGTTACTGTTTAATTTTGTTTAGTAAAAGTATCTTAAGGTTTTAGTTAAAGTATCTTAAAGTTTTAGTTCTCCATTTTGGGTAGACTAAGTACTGTTCTCTTGCATAGAAGAAAATAATTATGGATTCTGTTCAAGTTTGAAGGGGTCCTGTTTTAAAAGTCGTTTGTTACAAGCTGCTTCTCAAGCACCTTTGATGCTTTAAAAAGGCAATATTCTCTTAAAGAAAATGGATGTGGTTAGATTTAAACATTGTTGATGGTTGTGTTAGGGTTTTTTGTTTTTGGCAAATGGATTCGAGAGTGATAAAGATAAGTGTGTAGAGTTAATGGTTTAAAGGTGAATTTAGATTCGGAGATTATTCATCAGTGTATAGGAGAATCCCCAAGAAATGAGAGAAAGCCCAGCAGTAGGTTGGTTGAGGTTTTATAAGGTAGTCAACCTTAATGGGGAGACATTTTATTCCCATAGAGCAAAAAGGTTTTCTAAGAAACATGGATAAAACAACCTGTTTGGTTGTGTTTGTTTTTCTAAGGTAGGCGCCACATGAGGCTTGAACCCATGACCTTAGGATCAAGAAGTCGCATGCTCTACCGGCTGAGTCAGCCAGGCACCCCTGTCCTGTTTTGTTTTTGTCTGAAAAGTTTGTCTCAACATTGTAATATAACTTTGGTAGAAGCTGTTAAAACAGAAGCTGGGGAAACTTGGTTTTCTTTGCGATACTAGTATATGTCCTCCAACATTCACATAAAGGAGAAACTTTTCCTGAGATGATCAAAAAGAATTGTACTGAATTTTTTTTAAGTACTTTATCACATCATAACATCCGTTTTCATCCCCACACCTGAGATGGAACAGGTGAACTTGTCATGACCAAGAAAGCTTACAAAGGTTTCAGTAGAAGTGGGTTTGAACATCTGTCCTGAGTACTAAATAGCTGGAGTAAGATCTTACTTACAAGGATGCTTGAGCATGTTCTCTCCAGTGATCTAAGTAAGCGTTCATCTAAAAAGAGGTAGAGACATGGCATCTTCATTGTCACATCCAAGATACTCCCTTCCTTGAATTCATATCCTTTGAAGCCCTTATTACGCTGTTGCCGTAAACCTAGACTATCTCAAGTTCACAAATTTTAATGTCCAAATGTAAATACCAAGCTAGGCCTCATTCGTATAACAGTTTTAGAATAGAGTTCCTTATAACTCAGAAATCGTAGATACGGAAGCAGCGAGTTTTTCACAAAACTTTCGTGCCATGGAATTAGGTTTAGAATGTGTGTTAACAGTAGCTACATGAAAGATTGTGTGCTTGGGATCTTTGTTTTAGGTGGCCTTCAGTTTTTCTTTGAAGGAAAATCTGTATCCTGTTTCTTCTCCTTTTCCTGTCCTCAAGCCAGGATCCATTCTTTGCCTGCTCGGAGGCCATCGGCCCATTTTTCTCGCTGACTGCCTCTCAGCTGCCTGTGGTGGAACTGCAGGGGCAGAGGCAGGATCTGGGGTAGGGAATTGGTATCCCTCCTTCCTGCTTGTGTTGTCTCTGGAAATGGCTGCACCCCTGTGAGACCTGTCACTAGACTTTGACAGCCCCTTTTTTCATGCCTTTTAGCTCTTATTAGATTAGGGTGACATTTCTGTTCCCTGTTCCTCTAACCTCATGGTGATGACTGTAGCTCTTAACATTCCTATCTGGTTGTCTGGGTACTATCTTGATTCCCCACCCCCACCTCCCCAGTCTTATCTAGTAATAGGTCCTCTGTTAAGGTCTCTCCTTATGAACTGTGGGATGAATGCATTTTCCTGCCAGGACCTTGACTGATAAAAGTCAACCGAATACTCTTGTGCAGAGTCCTTTTCTAAAGTCTGCCTTGTTTTGTACCTACTCCAGTGTATTAGAACATCAACAGAAATGTAAAGAGGACTTGACTTTTTTTTTTTTTTTACTTTTTTTAATCATAGAATTACTATGGAACATTTCATATTGTCAAAATGAATAAGAACAAACGATTTCGGGTTTTTCTTTCTTTCCTTTTCTTAGTAGGCTCATTGCCTGGCGTGGAGCCCAGTGTGGTGCTCAAACTCAACCCTGAGACCATGAGTCAGATGCTTAACCAACTGAGCCACCCAGGCGCCCATCAGATTTATTATTTATTGGGGGGGGGCAGATTTATTTTTAAATTGAGCAGCACCTAACACCTCTTTCAAAGGGGTATTAAAACGATTATATGAATTGATTTATACAAGACCTGAAGGCAGTACCTGACCGACAGTGGTGTTCATAAGTGTCAATCTGTCCCCTAATCCTGTGGGCTCAGTGCATGATCACATCTCCAAAAATCCGATAACCTGGTAGTATTGTAGTAGACACTGATAATCCAAAGGTAAATTTCTGCTTCCTGTTCTCTTCTCCAGAAGTAGTCCAGAAAGGAAGAAAAGCCTGTAAACTTAATTTTTTCAATAGCATTAATACCCCTTCTACGGTGGTGAGATTACAAGGTATATATATATACAGTGACAAAGGGGTAGAAAGTCCTGTCTAGCAGACACACAGCCATGTCTTTAGTCCTGTGACTCTTGCCTCTCATGGTACATGGGTTTACTGTCAAGGAACAGTCTCACATTTTCAAGTACTTTGGTGATTTTGCAGATTCTAAAGTAATGGAGCAAAAGGGCAAAGTATATTCATTTAGAAATTAAAAAATCCTTGGTAATCATGTTGGTGTGTTTTCCCTAAGGATAAGCCAGAAACATTTCTCACTGCATTGTTGTTCTAGTTCTTCAAGACCATAGATGCTGAAAATTTTACCAAGACAGAAAAGGCCTTTTTGTCCCATTGTCCTCATATTTTTGCCTTCAGGCAAGGAGTTCTGCTTGTGAATAGAAGTACTGTGCTGCATGGTACAATACTTAGTAAAGGAACATGTTACGTAAATATTAGCTGTCACCTGCCAGGCACTGTTCTTTGCAAATTTTGCACAGTAACTTGGTTAATCCTTAACAGTGCCCTTGGAGGTGGAAATTTACCATTTTACTGATGAATAACAAGGAAACTAAGGCGCAGAGATGATAAATGACCAGTTAATGGCAAAGCTGGGATTTGAACTCCCATAGTTAGGAAGGCTCAGCCATCATACTACACTGCTTCTAAGTTACTGTATAGTTGATATCGTGCTTTTAGCTAAAATTTGTAGTTGATTTTTAGGGCATAACCCACTTTTTTTTTTTTTTTCAGATTTATTTATTTTAGATAGGGGCAGAGGGAGAAAGAATCTTTAAGCAGAGCCTTGCTGAGCGCAGAGCCCTGGCATGAGGCCCCATCTCAACCCATGAGATCATGACCTGAGCTGAAACCAAGAGCTGGATGCTCAACTGATTGAGCCACCCAGGCGTCACCCCTGCTATTTTAAATGTGAAATTGCAAACTGTTAGTGATGTTCCTTTTTTTTTTTAAATAGGCTCCAATGCAAAGCTTGAACTCATTACCCTGAGATCAAGACCTACGCTGAGATTAAGAGTAGGACTTAACCAGTTGAGCCACCCAGGCACCCCCATGATGTTGCATTTTGGGACAAAAGAAAACTTGGTTCATTTCCATAAAATCCATGTTACAGATTTTAGTGCCTGGGTGGCTCAGTGAGATGGGTGTCCAACTGTTGGTTTCCACTAAAGTTGTGATCTCAGGATTGTGTTGGGCTCCACAGTCATCAGGGAATCTGCTTAGGATTCTCTTTTCTGCCCCTCCCGCCTCATGCGTGTGTATGCGAATGCTCTCTTTCAAATCTTTTAAAAAATTGGAAAGAGATTTTTCTCTGCTGCATAACATTTTGGGTTTCAGTGCTTCATTTCCCCCATTTTTAACTTTCTAATTATGTCAATTTCAGGAAAACAGGGTTTTTCAAATGTTAATATGCTTTACATGGTTACTTAATAAAACATTGAAATCCTATAGTGAAAACATTTTTGGATAGCAGAGTCAGTGGTGAACACTTTATTGTTTGAGAAATGTTTGTGCCATATTATTTTAGAAAACCCCTTGACTATGTGCCAAATGTTTATAATTTGACATTTGATTCATCCCACTTAGCTTAGTTGGCTTCACTCTGTTTCATGGCTGTAGCTTATCGGTGTGTGGGAAAAGGTGGACCCGTTATTAATCTTGGGAGGAGGAAGACAGGGTCAAAAGAAAAAGTCCGATCTATCTATAAAGTTGAGTGTAGATACAGCTCAGAAGGCAGTTCTGTTGGCATAAGGTTCCTAGCATCAACCGAGTGCAGTTTCTTTCCAGTCAGGCTTGCGAAAAGAAACTATAAATCCTGGCTGCCTAATGGGAATCTGGAGTCGTTACTAAAGGAGTTAACTATTTGACAACCTATCACATCCATGATTAAAGGGATCTGTTGGCAGTCTAATCGCTGGGTTGCAGATACTCCGCTGACTGGGAGGCAGCAGTAGAGATTGTGATAAGGAACTGTTCTTCCTCTGGTTTAGCAAGAAGTATTTATAGTAGGAAAGCATGCGAAAATAGTCTGCTTACAGTGTCATTTTAGAACCAAACTTTGCTGGATTAAGATGCTTTTATGGCAAAAGTAACTAAAAGCTACACACACACACACACACACAATAAATAAAAGCTACACACACATTGTTTTAGTTATGATGACATGTTTTTTGTGTCCCTGGCGGGAAGGTCCAAGATCATAAAAGACTGTATTACTAAATCACCCGCCGACAGCAGTATCTTGAAGGTTGATGTTTTTGTGGAAAGAGGAAAAGGTCGTTAATTTAAAAACATGGCCAAAATATCTAAGCTCTACACTGACCATCAAAAGACCCAATCTATGAAAATCAAACCAAATCACAACAAAGCTTGGGAGGCTTGAGGCTGGAGGCAGAAGCGCCCTGTGTACACCACAACCCACAACTCCCATTTCCAGATGCTCGTTTCAAGTAGACCTTTTTCACCTACTACCTTTATCCTAATACGGTTCTGGAAATGTGGTTTCCCTACACGAAGGGATTCAGTTCAGCTCGGCTTCGTTAACGCGAAGCAGGGGCCTCTGCTCTACGGAGGCAGGAAGGTCACAGCAGGTTTGATCGTAGCGGGACCACGCTGCCACCGAGGCCTGCTTTCCTCAGGCCGCCTGGCATTGTAGGAACAGCAGTGGAGGGCAGACCTCGGGTCAGGCCCTGGAGGGAGAGCAAGCTAAATCAGCACGTGCCACCGGCAAGTGGCAAGTGGCAGCCCGACCACCAGGAGGCGTTTTCATCAGGGTCTTCTCCGCGGTCACTGAACAGCCGGCCAGAAGCTCCGTCAGCCTGACTGTACAGGCGTCCTTCGTACGTGGCCCGAATTGATAATACTTTCAGATCACATTTGGCCATTCATAGAAACCCAGTATAACCCGCAGAGGGGCTGGAGCCGGGCCACCAGAACTCCAGTGAATCCCTAATAAATACCTTATTTGAAGAGTCATGAGCTTCGTGACCTGCCGCTTCTGCACAGTGGAGGACAAGACGTCCCAGGCCTTCTTGCTCTTCAGTGTCCCACAATACCTGTTTGGCCAGGCCAACTTTCTTGCAGAGAAGTTCTGCTCCCCGTAGCACGCAGCTGTTGCTCACAAACGTCTGCTCCTTGGTGCAGTTGAGGCCTTTCCTCCGCCCCCCGCTGGCAGAGGCCCCCCGTGGCCCAGAGCAAGCCCCTGCGCCCTGCACGGAGGTCTCGGGAAGGTGCCTGGACCTCTGTCCTTGGCCTTCACCCACACGGAAGCCCATCAGGAGCCGGGAGGAAGCAGCAGAGACGGCAGGACAGGTGCCTCTCCCTCCTGGCTGTCCTCCTGGGTCAAGGCGTAGCGTCTGGCCTTCCTGGGGTCGGGCTCCGGCGTCTCCTCGGCCCACCTCCCCACGCGGCGCACGCCTTTGGCCACCCTGGGCGCGTTCCTGCAAGGGTTGTGGTCGTAGATGACCAGCTTCAGGCCGGACAGGTGGGCCAGGCTGGGGAAGTGACGGATGCCGTTCCTGTCCACGTCGATGACCTCCAGGAAGGGCATGTGCAGCAGCACGGCGGGGAAGTCGGTGAGCAGGTTGCCCGAGAGCCAGATGGTCCGCAGCTCCCGCAGGCGCTGCAGCCGGCCCGGCAGGCCGCGCAGGCCGTTGGAGCCGGCGTGCAGGGTCCTGAGGACCGCCAGCTCGCACACCACGTCGGGCAGCCGGCCCAGGCAGTTGGCCTCGATCCACAGGGTGCGGAGGCTCTGCAGCCGGCTCAGCTCGGCGGGCAGGCCGCAGAGCTTGTTGTTGCCCAGGTAGAGGATGCAGAGCTGCTGCAGCGTACACACCGCTTGTGGCAGAGCCTTGAAGTCGTTGAAATCCAGGGCCAGGATCTGCAGGTTCTGCAGCTGCGCCAGCTCGGGGGGCAGGCTGCTGAGGCGGTTGTCGCTCAGGTAGAGCTTGGCCAGCTCCCGGAAGGAGCACACGTGCACCGGGAGGCGGCGGAGCTGCCGGCCACTCAGGTCCACCGTCCTGTCGGGCGGCATGTCCCGCGGGTCTCTGGCCCCGGAGCCCCGGCAGCAGTCGGCGGGGACGCAGGCCGCCAGGGCCCTGAGGGCGTCGCCCATGGCCGCCCGCGCAGAGGCCCACCCTCCTCTCCCGTTATAACCGGGCGGCTCCCGTCAGCACCGCGGGGTGCTCGTGACAGCCGCCTGAGTGCCGGGTGACAGGCGCAACACGCGGGCCGGGCCGCCCAGGCCAGCCTCACGTACTCGCTCTCAGGGACCTGAGCCCCAGCTGCCTTTATCTACGTTTTTTTTTTTTTTTGGATCGTTCCTTTCAAGCTGAAAATAGCACCACTTCTTTTCCAACGATAAACCATTTGGCCCATACGTGATGGTGTGACGGAGGAAAGCGGCCTGTTCCCCAGGGCTGAGTACTGTGCCCACGCTCACGCGTATCCCCCAGCCTTTGTGCCCCCAAGTCATCAGTTTATCTTAAAAAATTCGTTTACCCCACTGGGGAGTCTAACCTTTATAACGTATGGATGTATTTTTGTGTGTTTGCAGGTATCTACGCAATTATGTTAACCACCCGTGTTCCGTTATGCGGAGGCACCGTAAGTGTAAACAGCCTCCGCTGGGGCCCCGGGTGCCTGCAGCTCTGCTCGTACAGGCAGAGCGAGCACCCGTGGGCCCTCATGCGTGTCTCGGGGTCACGGGCACGCATCTTTCAGGGGCTTTCCCTTGATAGCACCCCTCCTCCCCCGCAGATCTGAAGCAGTGCACGTGCTCTCAGCCAGGGAATAGTTTTCCACAGTTTCACAGTTTGCCTTTTGACAAAGGACAAGGAGAAAAGCAGGAGAGAGAGGAGAGGGACGCCAGGCTCCTGAAGGATGTATTTCTACGGTGTGTCTGCGCGGAGACTGGGGTAGTGGCCAACCGAAGGTTTGTGTTTCTCTTCCACAGTGTCGAGCAGTAGGGAGCAGCTGTCCGGCCCCGACATTTCCTGGTGCCAGCCTCGGGCACAAGGGTCCTGGCCAGTGGGATGTGGGCACAAGTGACACGTATCTCCTCTGGGCCTGGCTCATGTAGAACCAAGCTCGCCTTCCTCCACTCCCTCCCCGTCTGCCTGCCGGATGGCAACACCGCAGGGTGACCTTAGAAGCCCCTGTGTGGAAGTCACACGTTGAAGCCGGCAGGGCCTCAGTCACCCTGGATCCCCGAATAGGCGTCAGGATCGGAACACGTCCCCTGTTATCACCAACTGGATTTAGATAGATGAGAAATAAACCTCACTCCGGTTAAGGCACCCAGCTCTGAGAGCGTCTGTATCTGTCGCAGTATCTTAATATGAATAAATAGAGCAGTTGTTGAAAAGAAGGAGGTAACTCTATACCGACTGATATGCGAAGATATTCAGGGTAAATGAATGAAGTCGGGGCGGGGGCGGGGAGGCACGAGCCCATCTGTGAAAGAAATAGGTACAGATCCCTGCATATATGCGTAAAAGCTCTCTGAGACATAACTCTGGGGAGTCTTTGCCCGAAGGTTTGGGGGAGATAGGAATCCTGACCTTTCCGTCCTTCTGCAGGTGCCCTCTTGGACTGTTTGAATGGCTTTTTTCTAAGTTACATTATTTTATTTTTTTTAAAGATTTTAAAAATTTATTTATCCATGAGAGACACAGGCAGAGGAGAAGCAGGTGCCACTCAGGGAGCCCGACGTGGGACTGGATCCTGGGTCTCCAGGATCACGCCCTGGGCTGAAGGAGGTGCTAAGCCGCTGAGCCACACAGGCTGCCCTAAATTACATTGATTTTATTTTATTTATTTTATTTTATTATATTTTATTTTATTCATTTATTTATTTATATTTATTTATATTTATTTATATTTATTTATATTTATTTTTATTTATTTATTTATTTATTTATTTATTTATTTATTTATTTATTTATTTATTTATTTAAATTACATTGATTTTAAACCTGTTTCAAAACAGTCCATCAGCCTATCTGCCATTCTGCTGGTTGCGGGGGTGCTGGGGGAGCCAGGGCCACCGTCGCCTCCTGCAGGGCCTCTACTGCTCAGGTGCTCGTGGGAGACTGAGCGGAGCCCAGAAGGGCACCTGGGCACCCCGGTGAGTAGCCGCTCTGCGGGGCTGTGCACGAGGCAGGTGGTGCGGGCCCGCTGCCCGGCTTCCCTCCCAGTCCCCGCCGCTGGCGGGACGTCCTTGGGCTTCCTGCGCTTCGGAGGTCAAAGGCTGTTCTCTTGGGCCTCCTTGCTTTGTGGATTCAGCCTCTAGTAACCAGTGCGCCGGGGTCTGGGCTTTGCCTCCATATTCACCCGGGCCCCGGTGACCACAGCTGGTCCTCAGGCAGCTGCCTGGTTGTGCCTGGAAAGACCGAGAACACTGACCACTGCCGGTTAGTGTAACTGATTTGCTAGGTGCTAAGCACTGGGCCAGGTGCTCTGCGTGTACCAGCTCTTCTCAGAACACCTGCCACGTAAATCTCTCTTTTCTAGCATGTACTTACTCAGAGTGTGTGCGAGCAGGGGATGTGGAGCCCATCGGGGCTCGATCCACGACCCTGAGATCGTGACCTGAGCCAAGATCAGGAGCCGCAGGCCCACCGAGCCACCCAGGCACCCCTCAGATGGGTTTCCTCCCCAGGTCCCAGGTGAGAACCCCGAGGCTCCAGGACATGCCGAGCACCCACCGCGCTGTAGGCGGGGGCAGCCCAAGGCCAACAGGACACACAGGTGACCTCGTGGAGCACACGATGCCACAGGGCAGCGGCGGCTGCCAGGGACCTCGAGGGCCTGGGACTGGGCGCGGGTGCCGGCAGCAGGGACCTGGGGGCTCTGTGCCATGTCTAGGCCCGCGTGACCCCCCAATTCACTGGGAAGACCACGTGGTCTCTAGCCGCAGACGTCCGTGACTCTAACAGGCATCACGGGACCCCTGTGACCCCTAAGGACCCTCGCCCAGGTTCGGGGCTCAGTCGGGCCAAGGGCTAAAATTGGGGAGACGGCTGTGAAAAGCCACAGTGACCGCTGGGGGTGGGGACACAGCCTGTCCCCGCCGGCCGCTGGTTCCAGGGGCACCCCTGCCTGCCCCTCGGGGCCCGGGGGTGGGAGCTGGGGGCCTCAGCAGCCCGCACCCACCGCCTCCTCGCTGCTCCCACCGCTCCGGACCGCTGCACCCTCGCTGCGCCCGCTACCCGGGTTCCTCGCGGTTCCCGCCACCACCGTGGCCCTGCAGCCCCACCCCGTGCCCTCTACCCCCCACCGTGCCCTCCACCGCGCCCCCCCCCCCGGTACCTTCCACCGCCCCTCCCATGCCCTCCAGCCCCCACCATGCCCTCAACCCCCCACCGTGCCCTTCACCGGCCCCTGTGCCCTGGGCAAGTACCTGCTTGAGAGTCTCTCTCCCCCTCCCCCTGCACAAACCTGTGCTCTCCTCTCAATCAATCAATCAGTTCAATAAATAAATACATAAGATCTTTGAATAATAACAGTCTGTAGGTCTTGGAGCAAGTGCAAGGCCAGGCCAGGAACAGAGGCCTCTCCTTCCCGCTCCACCGCAGCACCACGACGTTGAGGTCTTGTCACACATGTATCACCCGGTGTTGCGGTCGCTGTTACGGGAAACCGAGTCCCTCCTACCCTTTTCACTAAGTCCTACAAAGAGCTAAGTCTCGGGGTCTTTGTCCTGGAATCTCTCCCCTCAGCCCCGAAATGTTCCCTGGAAGCAAAGTGTGTGTGTGTGTGTGTGTACATGGATATGCATGTGCTCATCTGTGTGTGTACATGCATATTCGTGTGTGTGGTGTTTATGTGTAGTGTATGCACGTGTGTGTACACAATATGGGTATTTGCATGTATGTGTGCTCTGTGCATGTGTGTGCATATCTGCATGTGTGCACATATCTGCATGTGTACCTGTGTGTGGCGTGCATATCTGCATCTTTGTGTGTGTGACATGCATGTGTGCATATCTGCATGTGTATGTGTGTGGTGTGCATGCATGTGTACATGTGTGCATGTGTACCTGTGTACCTGTGTGGTGTGCATGGGTGTGCTGTGTGTGCATATATGCATGTGTGCATGTGTATGTGTACATGCGTGTGCACATCTGCATGTGTGCATGTGTACCTGTGTGTGCTGTGTGGTGTGTGTGCACATCTGCATGTGAGTATGTGTATGTGTGTGCTGCGTGCGTGCTCTGTCTCCGCAGTGGAGCCCCCCGGGCGCCCCAGGTTCCCGCTGCTCTTTGGGAGTGCCAGGGCGCAGGGTGCTGGGTCCTCTGGGGGGGAGCCTGTCCCCCCCCCCCCCCCCCGCCCGGGCCGCCCCTCTGCGCTTCCCCCAGCCCGCCCAGACCTCCCGTCTCCCGCCGCCAGCACTCGGCCTTGAGGGCCTTCGAGGCTCTGGGGGGGTCGGACCCTCCGCTAACTCCACCCGGGGTGAGGCCCGGAACCCGTGGGGGGCTCGGGGCTGACGCGGGCCCGCGACGCCGGGGACCAGTTGGGCTGCTGGGCTCTCTCGGCCTCTGGAGCCGGGAGGCGGGATGGGTGAGGGGGGGCGGGTTGGGGGGCGCATGTCCGGCCCGAGGGCGCGGGAGAGTCGTGACGCAAACGACCTTCCCGTCGGGGGGGCTGGATCGTGCGGCGCGGAGTCGGGCCTGGAAGGACTTCGCCTCCCGCCTCAGTCCAGCTCCGCTCTGGGTAACCAGCGCCCCCGCCACCCCGCGCACCCCGCCACCCCGCGCCCCCCTCCACCCAGCGCACCCGCCACCCCGCGTCCTCCTCCACCCACCGCGTACCCGCGCCCCCTCCACCCAGTGCGCACCCACCCGGCTACCCGCACCCCGCCGCCCCCTCCACCCAGCGCACTCCGCTACCCCGCGCACCCCTCCACCCAGCGCACCCACCCGCCCCTCACCCACGCACCCGCGCCCCCTCCACCCAGTGCGTACCCGCTACCCCGCGCACCCCTCCACCCATGCGCACCCGCTACCCGCGCACCCTCCACCAGGCGCACCGCTACCCCGCGCACCCCTCCACCCAGCGCACCCCCACCTCACCCACGCACCCCTACCCGCGCCCCCTCCACCCAGCGCACCCCACTACCCCGCGCCCCCCTCCACCCAGCGCACCCCACTACCCCACGCCCCCTCCACCCAGCGCACCCCACTACCCCGCGCCCCCCTCCACCCAGCGCACCCCACTACCCCGCGCCCCCCTCCACCCAGTGCGCACCCGCTACCCCGCGCACCCCTCCACCCAGTGCACCCCACTACCCCGCGCACCCCTCCACCCAGCGCACCCCACTACCCCGCGCCCCCTCCACCCAGCGCACCCCGCTACCCCGCGCCCCCCTCCACCCAGTGCGCACCCGCTACCCCGCGCCCCCTCCACCCAGTGCACGCCGCTACCCCGCGCACCCCTCCACCCAGCGCACTCCGCTACCCCGCGCCCCCTCCACCCAGCGCACCCCGCTACCCTGCGTCCCCCGCCACCCAGCGCACCCCTCCACCCAGCACACCCCGCTACCCCGCGCCCCCCTCCACCCAGCGCACCCGCTACCCCGCGACCCCCTCCACCCAGCGCCCCCCTCCACCCAGCCCACCCACTACCCCGCGCCCCCCTCCACCCAGCGCCCCCCTCCACCCAGCCCACCCGCTACCCCGCGCCCCCCTCCACCCAGCGCACCCCGCCACCCCGCGCACCCCGCCACCCCGCGCACCCCGCCACCCCGCGCACCCCTCCACCCAGCACACCCGCTACCCCGCGCCCCCCTCCACCCAGCGCCCCCCTCCACCCAGCCCACCCGCTACCCCGCGCCCCCCTCCACCCAGCGCACCCACTACCCCGCGCACCCCTCCACCCAGCGCCCCCCTCCACCCAGTGCGCACCCGCTACCCCGCGCCCCCCTCCACCCAGCGCCCCCCTCCACCCAGTGCGCACCCGCTACCCCGCGCCCCCCTCCACCCAGCGCCACCCTCCACCCAGCGCACCCGCTACCCCGCGCCCCCCTCCACCCAGCGCCCCCCTCCACCCAGCCCACCCACTACCCCGCGCCCCCCTCCACCCAGCGCACCCCGCCACCCAGCCCACCCGCTACCCCGCGCGCCCCCTCCACCCAGCGCCCCCCGCCACCCAGTGCGCACCCGCTACCCTGCGCACCCTCCACCCAGCGCACCCCTCCACCCAGCGCACCCCGCTACCCCGCGCACCCTCCACCCAGCGCACCCGCGCCACCGCCCGTTTTGGGGCGAGGACATTACAGGCCACAGGTGGAGCTGACCCGGCCGGAGTAGGCCCGACCGGTGGGCCGAGCACGCGGTGCAGGTGACCCGACGCCGCCGCGCTACCCCCTTGTGACGCGGCCCCGTGGAGTCACCGGGTCAGGAGCCCTGGGGACCACCGTCGGGTTCAGTGGAGGGCGCCCCTGTGAGCGCTACTTGCACCCACGCCGGACCCATCCAGCGCGACGGTCGCAGGGACCGCTCTGTCCCCCGGGGGCTCGGCGGGTCTCGGGGTGCGCGGGGGGAGGGGGGAGGCTGCGCCCCGGCTCCCCGCGGGGCCCGCTCCCACGCGCCCGCAGCCCGGGACACACTGACAGGGAGACTTCAGGCTGGGGGCCGTGGCTCGTTGGGCAGCCCGTCCTGTCCCCACGGTGGCTCCTGCCACCCAGTCGGGCCCTTCTGCGTGTGGCCCCCCGAGGCGCAGCCCGCGGGGCGGAGGCCCTGGACGGCCCGCAGGGGGCGCAGCGGGGCACAGTGGAGGCAGCAGGTGTTTGCAGGGGCCGGGCCGGTGGCCTTGGCTGTCCTTGGTCCAGGCCTAGGCGATGGCCGACGGGGGGACCCCCTCCCTCGGGCTTGCCCCACGGGGTCTGGCCTGGGACACGCGGCTTCGGGGTGTCTCTGCCAGGCGCCAGCAGCAAGGGGGCCGCCAGGGCGTCACGGCCAGGCCGGCCGGACACAGCGGGGACCCCGGGGCAGCTGCACCCCGCGGGACTTACCCACTCTGCGGCCCCCATGGCCTCGAGAGGGGGGGCCCAGACTCACCTTTCTGGGGCCTCAACGGGGGTAAATCGGTTGGTACCTGCTGCTTGGGGCCTGTTTGTTGTTAAAGTGTTAACAGGGGGCAGCCCTTGGGCGTCTGGGCGTGAGCCGGGGTCCCGGGATCCAGTCCCCGTCGGGGTCCCCGCAGGCACCTGCTCCTCCCTCCGCCCGCGTCTCTCTCTCTGGGTCTCTCACGAATAAATACATAAAATCTTTAAACAATAAATAAATGAAAGGGAAACATATTGCTGGATCCGTAGGTTAAGAACCACCGCTTGGAGTCCGAGGGTCCTCCCCAAAGCACCAGCTTCTCCGGTCCGCTCCTGAGACCCCCTTGGGTCCCCACAGTCCAGGAGCTGGGGGGGGGCATGCCTGGTGCAGCGGGGGGCTCCCAACACCCTGTTTCAGCTCCACGGCCGTGGTCCTACTTCTTCAGCCTGATTCTTTGGGAACCCGAGCCCCGCCGCCCCCACCCCCCTGCGCTCCCGGGAAGTGGTGCGGGGAAGAGGCCCAGAGGGGAGGCACAGGCGTGGGGGTGGGAGGGTGGAAGTGGGGGGCCGTGGGTTGGGGGTGGGGGGATGGGTCTGTGCCTCCCACCCAAGGCCCAGCGGTTGCCAGCCACCTGCTGCGGGGACAGCTGCTCTAGGTGTTCTAGAAGCAAGCCCGTGTGGGCCATCTCGGGCCGTCTCGGGGCACTTGGCTCCCCTGCCCCCTAGACCAAGGGCCGCCTCTTGCGGAGCTCGGTCCCCACGCAGGTGGATGTGCACTGTCCTCTCCTGACAAGCCTGCGGGGTCTGAACCGTCCGCCGATTCTGGGCGGGAGGGGGACAGTTCCCAGTCCTCGGTCACTGAGCTGGGGGCAGGCCTGGGTCAGTGCCTGGGGCCCTCCAGAGGCTCCCCACTAACCTCTGCTGGCGTGAGGCGGCCGTGAGTCCCGGGCTCACCCCTACCCCCGCGCTGAGAGCCGTGCCCTTGGCTGCACTGCCCGAGGCCCGCGCTGAGGTCCCACGGCCACCCTGGGTCCCCGGGGGGGGGGGGTGGACACGGGCCAGCCGAGGGCTGCAGGGCCTGGGGCGAGAAGCCTGGGACCACAGATCCTGGGTGTCCAAGTAACGACCTGTGCTGTGCCGAGGGAATGGGAAGTGTCACCTAAGAACGGAAAATCCTTTAAAAAAATTATTTACTTATTTATGAGACCCAGAGACAGAGGCAGAGACACAGGCAGACAGAGAAGCAGGCCCCACGCAGGGAGCCCCATGCGGGACTCGATCCTGGGACCCCGGGTCACCCCCTGGGCTGAAGGCAGGCTCTCAACCACTGAGCCCCCCAGGCGTCCCTAAGAACAGAAAATTCTTAAAGAGAAAAACCTTTGAGCATTTCCTTCCTAATTTATGCTATGCCTAGACTTCACTTAGGAAAAAGACATGGCAAGGTGACAAAAAAAAGGATGGAAAGGAAGCGCATTAAGATGCGAGCAGTAGTTTTCACAGGGGCGATTTGTTTCTCTTTCCAATTTCTCCAAAATAATGTGTTTCCTTTTACAATGAAAACCACACGTGTTTAAATTCTCTGTCCCCTGTGGGGTGGCTTATGTCTCTCTTGAGGCCCTGGAAGGGGACCACCCGGAGCAGGCCGGCCTCCTCCTCCTTCTCCTCGGAGAAAATCATGTCCCTGACCTCACCGACTTTGACTTCCTCATTTGTAAAAAGGGGAAAACAGTAGCACAGGGGCCGTGGTAGGGGTGAGCACCAAGTGGGGTGACCTGGGCAAGTGTGGCTCATGGTGCACACGCAGGGCAGGGGTAGGCCTGTGACCATGAGTTGGCTCCTGCTATTTATTCCTTACCCCCACCCCCGCACCCCTGTGCAGCTTCAGCACCCAGAGCAGGAGCTGACGTTGCGCCCTGCACCCCGGTGCTTGCACAGGTGCGGCCCCGGCCCCTCCGGCCCCCCACGGGCTGCCCACGGCTGAGACGCTTTAGGAAAGCGACCGGCCCGCAGCCCCGGGTGACTGTGCGACACCCTGGGCAGCCACTGGCCGGGGCCCTGGGGGTGGGGACAGCATAGTGGGGGGCCCTGGACTGCGGCAGCGGCGGAGGTCAGGTGGCGGCCTGGGGTCCGCGGACCCAAGCCGGGGACCCAGGCCTCTGGGACCTCGCCGGTGGGGCGGCGCTCCTGCCCTGGCGCTTGCCCTGCTGGTGCTTCCGGCCCCCCATCCCCCCTGCTGGGCTGGTAGGGGAGCGGCAGAGGTCAGGCTGGGGTTCAGCTCGAGGGAGGGAGTGGGCGGGGTGGAAATTGCCACTGAGGGTGTGGGACGGAGGGACGTGTTGGGCACTTTCTCAGGACCCTTCAGGAAGCCCCGCCGGGTGCCGCACATCCTTGGAAGTGTCGCGATGGGGCCGCCCTCGAGGGTCGCCCTGTGTGCAAGGGCCACACGGTTGGGGAAGTGCAGCGCTGTCCACGGTGGTGGGGGTGCTCAGGGGCGGTGCCCAGTTCTCCGGGGCTGACCTACCGGCGGCCCCATTCCGTGGGCAGGTGCTGATGGCCCGCGGCCTGCGCGCCCACGGGTCTGGGGCACTGGGTGCACCTGCTCTCCAGCCCCGAGTCCTCTCTTCTCTCCTCACTAGTCTCCCTGACGCTGCTCCCACTTGAAGCTGCTGGCCGAGGTCAGGGTCCCGAGGTCAGGGTCCCGACTGGGTGCTTGGGGCTGCTCAGCGGTCGGGAGATCCATGGGGCGCCCGGCAGGATGGCTAGCAATGCCCCGACTCTACTCACCACATGCCAGTGTGACCATCCGGACACCCCCAGACATGGCCTGGCATCTCCTGGGTGTAGCGTCGCCTCCAGCTGAGGACCAGTCACCTGGACAGAGAAGCTGAGGAGACACACTAGCATTTCTGTACAGAATCTATTTTTCTTTCCTTTTTTTTTTTTTTAAAGATTTTACTTATTTATTCATGAGAGACCCAGAGAGAGAGAGAGAGAGAGGCAGAGACACAGGCAGAGGGAGAAGCAGGCTCCCTGCGGGGAGCCCGATATGGGACTCGATCCCGGGACTCTGGGGTCACGACCTGAGCTAAAGGCAGGTGCTCCACCGCTGAGCCTCCCAGGCGTCCCTGTTCAGAATCTATTTCAGGAAAGTTCTTACTTGTTCCAGGATACAAGGTGCAGCATCCCCTTTGCTGACTCTGCTAGGTGAACATTTAAAACTAGAGGCTCAATAAATAAATAAATAAATAAATAATAAATAATAAATAAATAAATAAATAAATAAATAAATAAAAATAAAACTAGAGGCTCTGAGAAGGTGGTTCCAGGCCACCATCTGGCCAAACCTACCCGTGGCAAAAAGGCTGGGGCCTATTTCCTGAATTAATTCAGAAACAAAACAACAGGACACAAAGCTAGAGCCCTTGGCCCGGGTTAACTGAGTAATTAGGGCCAACGTGGTTGTCGTGCCTCTACTTTCCTGGGCAGTTGCTTCCGTCTTTCATTGGCCTTTGCCGAGACCTGCTGGGCAGAGGTGGGAAGGGGGGTTGGAAACGGGTGGTGTTTGCTGAGGTCACCTGTCTCGAGCTGTGCCAGGCGGCTGGGACCCTTCTCCTGGGTTTTGTATGACTCGCATTGAGAGGACAAGCCTGGCATCCTCGAAATGCTTCTTTTGACTCAGTGGCCATTTCAGTGGGAACGACTGTCCTAAAGGTTAGGGCTCACAGAGCTAAGGAAAGGAGAACGTGTTTGAAGGGACTGACGTGAGGGAAAGCCTTGCTTGTCGCTGTTAACCCCGGCACTTCAGAAACTGTTGCAGGTCATGCACGTGATGAGTTGAGGGAAGGGCACGTGGAATCAGATCTGAATCTGACTCTTGGGAGTTTTTTTTTTTTTTTTTTTTTTTTTAGATTTCATTTATTTATCCATGAGAGACACACAGAGGGAGGCAGAGACCCAGGCAGAGGGAGAAGCAGGCTCCATGCAGGGAGCCCGATGGGGACTTGATCCCGGGACTCTGGGGTCACGCTCCGAGCCAAAGGCAGATACTCAACCACTGAGCCCCCCAGCTGCCCCTAGTTAGGAGCTTTTTAGGGTTGTGGTGCTTATTCCAAAATTACCTGGTAGAGGAGCAGGTGTGGGGAGAGTAGGTGCCCTAAGAAGGTCCTCTAACTTCAACCCAGGGGTGCTAAATCCTCTAGGATTACAGTGGGAAGGACAGGGGCAGTTAATTGTTTGCAAGTTCCCCACTGTGATTGCGGGGAT